TCCTCGCGTGTAGCAGGCTCGGCTCACGTTCTTTATGGCCCCACCTAGCGCCGTTCGTTGATCCTAGAACAGAACGGACAGAAAAATCGGTAGAACTACATTGTTTTCCCTAAAACTAACCAAGCTTAACCCCGATTCTGCCTTGCTCTGAAGTAAATTCAATTTCCTCTGAGCTCACTAGGCCTGCCCAGTTTGGGGTTGAGGGCACCCCAGAGTCCACAGCCTGTGGTGTCGCTCCTAGCAGGCCACAGCCCCCAGTGCTGGAAGTATCTTGCCGGCACAGAGCGGGGACCAACGGCCCTACCCCGGGGTTCGTATCCGGGCTCCAGAAATTCCCGTCTCCTTGACGCCAGGCAAGCTGGTCTGCCTTCCCGAGTCTTCTGTTCTTCAGTGGGTCTGACAGTGACAGCTGCCTCCGGGCGTTAATGCTGGGCACCAGCTTGGCCACTGCAGCTCTCAGAGGTGGTGCCCGCCCCCCGCTGGGCACAGCTGCCGTCCCTCCTGGTGGTCCCATCAGCACCTGCCCACCCTGTCTCCCAGTCTGTGCTGCCTCCTTTCTGTACTGACCCTCCCCCGTGGGCACCCCCTGCTGGCGTTTGGATCCCAACTTGGCTTCTCCATAAGCGCTTACTTCCCAGTATTTTCAAGAGGCTCCGGGAGTTACTGACAATTCCAGCTTACATTTTCACTTTGAAAAATGCATTTAGACTGGACCTAAGAGAGCTCTGGACGAAGATGAAGAACTACGACAAAGCAGACCCGAGAGGTCCCCGCTCAGAGCTTTCTCAGCTCTCGTGGTTTCTGGGCAGGGTTTGTGGGTTCCCTGTGCTGTGCTCAGTCTGTGTGCGCGGAGGTGGGCTGTCCATCCAACGCTGTCCTACACTGCGGACAGCGATGAGGGACCAGGGGCTGAGGATGCCCCGTTCTCTGTGTTTACAAGGGAACGTGGGCCCACATCAAGAGGCCTCCTGAATTCAGCACCAAATTCTGAGGCTGTAAGTCAGCCAGCAGGGGTGTCCAGGTGTGAGGCAGGAGTGAGACGGGCAGCAGGGAGGTGACCCCGCCGTGGACCGGTTGGGGGACCCCAAGACAAAGAGCCGGGCTCCCCAAAGTGCAGTTTCGGACCATGGAGGTGATATAACTTCAACCCTGATTGTTAGTAAGCTCCTTCCTTTGAGATCACACAGATTTAAGCTTTTGTGTCTCACTCTGTGCAACAAACGTATAGAAAGTGACAGCAGAGCTTGGAGGGCTGGGACATTCTGTTACCTCCTCAGGGCTTTGTGACAGGCTGCATTGTCCAGCCAGCAGCGGGCCTGGCAAGGCATTGTGCCCCCAACTCACTCCGAAGAGAAAACGTCTCACACCGTTGATGTAATTACGCCCTTTTTAATACTACTGTTACTTTAAACGCGATTAGCGACTTCATTTCCTTGGCAATGTGCACAAGGACATTGACGTTCAGGGGCTGGCTTCTCCTACTGACTTGTCGCTGCTCCATCTTACTAGTCATGAGGTTGGCAAGCGGGAGTCGTAGTGGTCTTCAGGGTCCTGGCTGCCAGCCTCCAGTGGGGCCTGCCTTGTCCCCAGCTCCCTGTCCCCAGTTCCGTCTGAGCACCCCCCTGGGGCGGTCACAGGTGGCGAGAGCTTTTGAAGACAGGCTTCCCTTAGCTGGTGCCAGGCCGACACCGCGAGGCGGGTGCTACTCACCCGTCCCCATTTTGCAGATAAGGAAACTGAGGCACAGAGCAGCTGCATCACTCAGCCAAGTTCCTGCAGCTCGTTGGTAATGAAGCCAGATCGCAGCCCGGTCTGCTCCTGGAGTGTCTCAGTGGCACCCACGCCCTGTGCTGGGGGTGGGGGAGTCGTAAATGCTGCTTTGACTTCCATACATGGGGCCACACGCTTCACCTCTGCTGCGGACTCTCAGAGCAGTGCCCATGGCACAGACGGGAAAGTCACTCTTAGGTAGTTCCTAAGCTGCCTAAGATCACACAGCCAGGAAGTGACTGAGCCAGGCTGGCACTGTGGGGCTGCCCTCCGAGGCCCCCCCATCCTGGCACGACCCACATCCGTATGTTCTCTGGGCAAGTTACACCCTAGAGGAATGTGTGCCCAAGGTAGAGAGACCTGCTCCCGCAGGCTGAGTCGCAGTGGCCAGAGGCCTTGGCCTGCAGGAGAGAACCTTCTGCCGCCCACCCTGTGCAGGGGGCTTGAGCACCTACCTGGGGCACCCCAGCCTGCTCTCCGGCAGCCCTTGGCCCCGGCCCATTGCACTGAAGCCTGAGACACAAAACCCTGATTTGCTTCCAGAACGAGCCCCCAGCACCACCCAGGTAGGGGAGTCAGCTTGGTGCAGAATGTTCTAGAACTTCTGGCTTTAAACGGCACAGTGGCAGCTGGCTGGCTGTTGTAGCACGCTTCCCTTTGTGTCTTACGTATTCGTTATAAATACCCTTCGTCGGTAGTTCCAAACATATGCCCGGTTTGAGCTGGCTAGTCCGTGCAGTGGCTTTCTAGGTTTCTGTCTTGGGGGTTTGTTTCATCTGGCCGGCAGGTCGGTGCGTTTGGGGAGGTAGCTGTGTCAGGGCACAGTGGGCAGGAGGGGGCCCCAGGCCCTGTTGCTAGGCCATGTGTCCCTTTGTGTCTGTCCCTGCCCCAGGCCAGCAGCGTGGCCCCACTTCCCCGCCCCCGCAACTGCTGCCAGCCAGGCCTTCTCTGGGCCTCCGAAAGCGGTGGACATGGCCCTATGACAAAGGACATCTTAGCTCTTAATACTCAGACTATATATAGACCTTCGGGGGTGGGCGGGCACGGAGCAGCTGAGAAGTGAGGCGAGAGTTTAAAGAGAAACAAAATGGGGCTGGACAGATTTTAAAACTGTTGCCACAGCCGATTTGGGGCAGGAAAAGTGACAAATGGACTTGGAGACGGGGAATGCACTTCAACATCATTTAAGTTAATGTCCAGAGAAGATAATGTCCGTTGTGATTACAGATAAACTCACTTAGAAATTTAGAGAAGGACATTCGGAGCACGCTGATTTTGTAGTTGAAAGCATGCCCTCGTATAGACGACATGGTTGATGACACGGTCAGCGTATTATGATGATGATACAAGGAATTGTGTGAATCCACTTCTATTTTCTAAATTTGTTTTTATGTTAATGCATTTTCTTAAAAAAGTTTTTACCTATAGATCAAAGATGTACTTTCTTTGTTTTAAATTATACTTTTATAGACGCAGCCACACCAGCTGCGTTGGAATACTTGGTTTGTTTTGTATAGCTATAACTTTCACTGAGTGAAACGTAAATTCTGGAAAAGAAGGGGGGATTTTTTTAAAGGATGAATGGGAATTGAAAACAGGTCTCGGTCCTGATACAGCCCGGGGATTTCTTTGGGATTGGGGGTGGCTGCAGTGGTGACTGCCACCTGGAGGGCAGGCCCCCAGGCGAGTCCAGTGCCCCCTCTCCCCCCTCCAGCTGGGAACTCAAGGCTGAGTGAGCATTAACTCCTTCCTGTCCGGGAGCTGTGGGAGGGCTGGGGACAGTCTCATGGGATGGCGCCATCCCAATGGGATTTGACCCTAGCGCTAGCCCTCCCCGCCAGACTCCTCTCAGGGGAGAGAAATGTTCAGACAAAGTAGCTCTTGGTTGGAAAAACTCGAGAAAAGGGACAGAGAAAGAGAGAGTACAAAGAGCTGCAGCCAGTTTGCGGGGACCCGCTGACACCCCCAGGCCCCAGGAAGTACCAGCTCCAAAGTTGTCACTGATGGCCTGAGTTGCAGGGACAAAGATCTCTAAGAGACTTGGCAGAAGGGCCGAATTCAGAGAACACTCGTGCTCAGGCCCTGAATGCGTGCTTATTTCGGCGCCGGGGGAAATTAGCAGGGGCTTTTCTGGGGTATTGGTCTGAGCACTGTGTTGCTGTCCTGTTGTCGCTGCCTCCACCTTGGGCTGGTGGGTGCTTCGGGAAGTGGGGAGCCAGTGGGGGAGCGATTGCATCAGGCCCAGCGAGGGACCCGATTGGTCTGCCCAGGTGGCTGATTCACTACCTGGCAGCCTGAGCCTGAGGCAGCCTGGGAGCAGGTCTCCTGCCTGCCCGGAGACAGCCTGCCCACCAGGGCGTCCACATAGCCAGCCATTGGTGGGTCAGTGCGGGAGGGGCTCCCAGCCCGCCAGGGACAAACTCCCTTTCAAGAGGCAGTGTGAGCTTAAAATGCCGTCTTGTTCCCCTGACTGCTTTTTCCAGTCTGTGGAGGTGGGATTTTTTTTTAAGCATCTCACATTCCCCTAACCGTTGCACCCTATGGTGTGTACAGAATGTATTTCCTGTCCCCTGGATCTCTCTGCTTGGCGTCCCTTTGCCTGGGAGCCATTTATTTGTAATGGCTTTAAACAGTACCCAGAAAACAGCTTGCTTGTGACTTTGTAAGGGGCAGGGGCCAAAGAATTCTGTGACTGTATTCTTATAATGCCTTTTTTTTAGTATTTTAAATATCAGCATATTCATATTGATTTTTCTCCACTTCTGCCTAAGCCTCAGTGAGCATGACCTGGGCAGCGAGTGACAGGAAAAGGTAATGGGTGCCAGCCGCTGCACCCTGGACCCTGGGAAGGGACAACAGGTGGAGCCTTCGAAACCAAAAGTTAGGGTTTCTGTTGCTCCATTTTTTACAATTGTTTCCATGTGACGCATCCAACCCCAGCCACCAGCCGGACTTCAAGTGACTTCTGTCACTTCCTGACACGGGTTGTTGGGGCGTCTCAGGTACCCTCAGGCCTGGCCACGCTGGTGTTCCGAGTGTGCTGAGCATTCTGAGGAGGTCAGACGTGCTCCGCCTATCACAGGTGGGAGGGGCGGGGCAGTGGAGGGACCCACGCCGGCGGGGCCTGCTGCCTGGCGCACGGCCGTCTGCTTCTGTTTTATTCTGTTCCGTTTTTATTTCTTAAACACTCGAAGGTGCTCACCTGTGAGTGTCTCCTTTCTGTGTTGCAGGATGTTAAAATCTTTGGTGAAGACGGGACGTGCAAAGTGGTGGAGATTCTCACGGACATGACGGCCAGGGACCTGTGCCAGTTGCTGGTGTACAAAAGCCATTGTGTGGACGACAACAGCTGGACACTGGTCGAACACCACCCACAGCTGGGGATAGGTAGGACAGCACGGGGGGGTGCTCGGTGTGCAGCCGCTGGGCCCCATGTGTCACCGCATGTGTGGCCATGTAGCGGGCAGCCTCCATGCTGTCCTCTATGCGTCCACCCCTTCTCTCTCCTAAAGCTCCACCTTCCTCCCCCTGGCCCTCCCCCCCCAGCGCTTTCAGAATCTTGCTCTTGGAACTCCGGTTTTACTTAAGGCCATTGTAATAATGTGACGTTTATGGATGGCGATGTTATTGTTTAATAGAATCACCCGAGGTCGTAGAGAAAATTAGAACTGGAAAAGTGGCTTGGAACTGATGTTGTCAGGTGGCTTTCTGCCAGCGGTGAAGACCGGTGCTCTGGATACTCAGAGGCAGACTAAGGCCAACGGCCCGCAGATCTGTGGGGAGCGGGCTCAGGCCTGGTGCTCCTGACCCCGCTGTGGGCCGCCGCCTTCCGATGCGCACTGAGAGCAGAAAAGGCAATTCTGGAGCAGCTTTGTTTTCACCTGGGGTCACCAGAGTGACCCGGAATGGAGAAGCACGCTGCCGTCAGGGTCCGGGGGTCCCCTGTTCCCCAGTTCCCATCCATCCTGGGGCCCACTCGCAGGGGACGCTTCACGGTCTGTTCGGGCTGCTGGGCATAGCTTTTGCGGGACCTTGCCAGGGCGGGGTCCAGGGAGGCGGGAAGAGGGGGTGCGAGCCGTGGCTGTGGCCGCGTGCCCCCTCACAGCTGGTGTTTCCACTGGTCACCAGGGTTCTCCTAACGACTTGTCAGACACAAAATGTCTTTTTTTTGGATCCAGACATCTGTCTTGGCCTCACATAGGTGGCTGCCACCTTGGTTTTCTATTTCTCCTTCTTTTACCTGATTAAAAAAAAAATTAAGTCTATTAACTGACCACATCAGGTTATTGGGTAGCTGTTATTTTTCTCCCCCTATAACTACAGAAATATTTTCTCCAACTAAAAATCTCAGCAGAAGTCGTTGGCTTGCTTTCCACGTGGAAAATCCATTGTAAGTGACTGACACTGAGCCAGCCTCTTTTTTTGAAAGCGAATGTAAGAGTAACGCACGCCCCAGTTGTGCGTGGTTCCCCTCGTCTCCTGGCGTGGGGAAACGCAGGGCCGGGGTTTGGTTCAGGTGTGGCCACAGGGTCCCCGCACAGCCAGGCCAGGGGACAAGTGGGCCCGTCCCTCATGCACTGGTGCTGCCAGGCCGGCCCTTCCTGGGCCACCACGGACCTGCTGGCAGTCGTGGGGAGGAAATGTCTTTCCTTGGCAAATGTGGGCTTTGAATCTGTCTTTACCAGCTAGGCTTTCCTGGTCATGTGGAAACCACGGCTGAGCGAGCTGCGGGCAGGCGTGGCACATCTCAGACCGGCGAGCGCCTGGCGACGGCCGTCCTTGGTAGACAGGAATTCGTTGTCCTCATTCTGAGACTTAGAAACGCTTCCTCCCTCACCTGCATCCTTCCGTGAAGATGGCAGTTCTCTAGGCAGTCAGCTCTGGCCGTGAAAGGGGACAGGGGCTTCGAAGGGACTGACTTCCCCTTTTGTGACGGTTCTGTAGGGTTTGATGTTTCTCCCACGTGGGTCTCAGTTCGCGCCGTGAAGGTACCAGGGATTGTCTTGTGTCGCTTGTTCCGCGACTGAATACGACCAGTTCCCTGTCACCGCGCCCCCCCCCCGCCCCCCGTCGGAGCAGGTTTGAGGACACTGTAGGAAGAGTGTGACCACCCTCAGAGCAGAACAGTGCCGTGGCCCATTCTTCCTGCTCCACATGGAACCTGAGTGTTCAAACTGGGAGGGACATACCTTTCCAGGGCAACAGCACTGCCAACTCGGGTGCTGTGGTGCGGTGTGCACGCCAGCGTGTGCATGTGAGCACACGTGCATGCGTGCCGCATAACGTGTGTCTTCTCCCCGACCCCAGCAATGTCGCGGTCCATGAGCGCACACCAGGATGTGGTTGGCGTGGAGCTGGGCTTCAGCCTTGGGGACGGGTGTCTGCGCGTGTGATGGTGGCACAGCCCCTCCCTGTACTCTTCCCCTGGCAACCCAGGCTCAGGACATCGGAAGCCTGGCTGCCCCACCCAGCCGCCCTCCCGTGGGCTCCCCAGCCCAGCGCCCGCCCATGGTCCTCTGTCTGCATGCTTTTCCAGTTGGCATAGTCCGCGCCCTTTATAAGAGTTGATGTGGTTTTTTTTTAAGTTCCAGGCAAAATCATTTGCTAGGAGTCTTCACTGACTCTCTCCTTAACAGTTGACACCCAATTGTAAGAGAAAGTGTGTGAAAGTGAGGACTGACCTGAATTCCTCATGTTGTGTGTCTTAAGGCCTCTTATGCACTTGGTAATGCATTCAAGAGAGACGTAAATTTTGCTTTGTTCCTGACCTCATCTTCGCTCACGGCATTCACAGGAGGACGGGAAGCCAGCCACGTTTAGTGGCTGGTGGCGACGCTGCCTTCGAGGCTCCGTCTGCTTCCTCCCACGCTGCTCACACATGATCCTTTTTCTGCCCCCAGAACGGTGCTTGGAAGATCACGAACTGGTCGTTCGGGTGGAAAGCACCATGGCCAGCGAGAGTAAATTTCTGTTCAGGAAGAATTATGCAAAATACGAGTTTTTCAAAAATCCAACGGTGAGTGAGTCTTCTCTCTTCGGGTTTGGGGTGTGGAATTCTTGAAATTTTGCAGCTGGTTCTTGGATTTAACAGGAGCAGATTATAAAGCAACCAACTTTATAGACTCGGAGCAGTAGACTGGTTTGCACGTCAGAGTTGCTATCTCACAAAGCACCCCTTGCTCACAGCTCAGGCCCTGATGCTGCCCTGAGTGCCTTGGTACCGGCCCAAGGGCACCCATCGAGCCTTCTTCCACAGTAATGGTAGGAAAGGGGCTGCATCTCTTAAGGAGAGAGAGAGAGCAGGGTAGGGACCCTCATACCTGCCGTAGCCGGCGTGATCCCCTCTCCTGAGGCGTGAGGCAGAGCCTCAGAGACTGGGGACGAGGCCCAAGTCACCTTCTGGCTCTGATAGTTCAGCTCTTGTTTATTTGAAAGTAAGAGATTTGATCATTACTTTGAGTGAGGCGCCAGGAGAGTCTTTTTCACATCACTGAGCTCATCTTTTAGTTTCAAGAGTTCTTTGTCTCATGCCATGCACTTGTGTCACTGAGTTATGACGCGTGGCAGCCCTCTCTGCCTCGGTGACACTGTGAGACGGGAATGCACAGTAAACGGCAGAGATGCTCCAAACTTGAACTCAGCATTTAAGGAAGCAGTTCAGCCTTTTGAAGCAGACGTTTCCACTGTGTGTGACAAGGGACTAGGACGGACGGTTGTTTTACATGCACGTGTGCACTACTGTCGCTGCAGGAACGCCTTTAGAACTGGCATGCCAGAAGTGTGCTTTTCCCCACTTCAAAGCTAACCTTTAACACGTGTGTTTTTCCATTTCCTTAGACTTTCTTCCCAGAACAGATGGTCACTTTGTGCCAGCAGTCCAACGGCAGTCAGACCCACCTTCTGCAGGTACTGGGCAAGACAGTCTCGGGCGGAAGTCTCTCGAGCTGTCATGGCGGCCTTGTGGGAACTTGGCGCCGTCGCATTCGTAATCACGGATTAGCCTCGGCTCCCAGTGGGGCTGAGAGTAACCAGAAATAAATGCTTCCTTGGGAAATCTGTGTGTAGCCGGCTCCTCCAAAGCAAAACAAGCTCTTACAAATAGGACAAGCTTCCGCAACCCCAGTGGAGGGGGCGCCACGGGCTCTCCCAGCTCCTGCCGGAGCCTGGACACAGAGGAGGACACCTGTCTAGTTGCCCCCTCTACCTTGTCATCTGTTCCGAGAAAATTCGGCCGTTGCCCACAGCCCCTTCCCGTGGAAGGAGCACGAGGGGCCTCTGTGCTTACTGCCTCTTCCCAGGGAAACAGGGAACAGAAAAGGGAGTCTTACTGCTGCACCCCCAAACATGCATCAGCTTACAGCATGTTAAGTGAGGGAATCAACCGTTCAGCAGGGCGGCCACCACTCTCCAGGTGACGTCAAGTGTAAGAGAAGCGACCAAAATTGAGTTCCTGCAGAACTCAGCTTCTAGTGTTCCTTTCCTCGTGGTGAGTCGCAGGACCTGCCTCTGCCTGAGACCACAGCCCCTTCTGAAGCCCTGCCGACCATGGTGTTTGCAAGGGTTGTTTGTCCCCAGGTGGTTATCGTGGCTCATGCACAGTGATGGCGAAGTGGCCAGTGGCGTTTCTGATTGCCTGATCTGAGGTGGCTTGTGTGTTTGTGCAGGTGCTCAGTCACCTCTTGAGACACCAGAAGGACTGACCCAGGGACATCAGGACTCTGTCCTGCTGGCCCATGCCTCCTGAGGGAGAGGCCATGTCCCCTCAGTCCAGTGGAAAGGTCCCGCCTGCGTCACCTCCCCGGCCCGGCTCCCAGAGGCTCTCAGCCTCTCTTTCCCTTAGAAAGACATGCTGCCTGTGGGAGGAGTCAGCTGGGACAGTGAGCTGTCCCCAGGGCATTCCAGGAGAGACAGACCCCGTTGACACACCTTTCACTAGGAGGGGGACACTGGGAGTGTGATAGCAAGGCGCTTGGCCCTGATAGGTTGCTCCTGGTTCTTCCTCTTGGCTAAACTCTGATGATCAGATGGGGCGTTTTATGGAAAATTAGAATAAAGGGCAAGATCCTCAATTGTACTGTCTTACAAGGAAACGGGTGACTTTGTGCTTGTTGTCAATGTGGGAAAGGTCCCTTTGCTTGTGTGTGTTTACATTCTAATGACATTCTTTGCAACACCAATTTAGACGGGGTTTTTGAGACTTTTGAAAGGAAGCATATTTGAAAACTCTGGGCTTGACCCAACAAAGAGGATTTTAGTAATTCAGAAAATGTCAAAATGTCAGTGATGCTAATAATACAGCTGCTTTATTTTATGTCAGCATATCTGACTTTGAAAATGTGCTCTTCAACAGATTTTTCTGAACTCCAGCAGTTGTCCTGAAGTTCAAGGGTTTTTGCATGTGAAGGAGCTGGGGCGGAAGTCGTGGAAGAAGCTCTATATGTGTTTGCGAAGATCCGGCCTGTACTGCTCCACCAAAGGAGTCTCAAAGGTGAGCCGTCACACCAGGCTGGGGCGTCCAGAGTGGATGGGGCTGCCCTTTCACATCCCCGGAGGCTCCTCTAAACTCCTGGTAACTTAGAAAACTAACTGTGAAACAGCTAAACTCAGCGTTACCTGCCGGCTGCTCTGCCTCGGACACCCTGCGATATAACACAGGCCTGGAAACCCCAGGCTGCCTGCGTTCTCACCCCTGCGGCCTTGAGGCAGTCTGCCCGGGGCTGTTAGAGCCATTTTATGGAACAAATGGCCGTTCTGCGTGTACTTCCAGCAGGAGGAGGGGAGCAGAGATGGAGGGCAGCTGCAGGCCTGCCAAGAGGGCCACGCAGGCAGCCCCCCTGTGGGGCCTCTTGGCGCCTTTGCCCCGCTCACTTCACTCTTCTCCTCATGTCCATGTACGCCCTGCAGTGGGCGTCGTGCCTCGCTGACCTCGGCCAGGCGTGCACCCCTAAGAGCTGAAGTGTCCCCTGCTCTTGCCTGGAGAAAGAGGGAGCCCCCCAGTGAGGGTGCTGAGCCTCAGGCCGGCTGTTTTACGGCTGCTCTGGGCAGTCGGCAGCTGCCGGGGCGGGAGCCAGAGAGAAGGAATGTGGGCGGGGGGAGAGACGTAAATTTTGCTTTGTTCCTGACCTCATCTTCGCTCACGGCATTCACAGGAGGACGGGAAGCCAGCCACGTTTAGTGGCTGGTGGCGANTTTTGGTCTGCATATATATATACTTTATTTGGGAAAAAAACAGAAAGGGGCATGAGAAAGAAAAACACTAGCATGCCTGGCGGGGCTGTGGCAGCCCCCCCGCCGCGGCCCTGGTGGCTGACCTGACTCTGGCTTCCTCCTCCAGTACGGAGTGCTCCTGTACCAAAGCTACAGGGTCCCCCAGCAGAAGAAAGCCCTTCTGTCCTTCTCCACCCCAGTGGTAAGTAAACCTGCGACCGTCGACCGCCGAGGCCCTTCTCAGCTGCCGCACCCGCCCGTGCTGTGGACGTCTCATCTCAGGAGGTTGCCGAGAGCAGCTGCAGAGCGAGCTGTGTCTCACACAAGCAGCGTGTCCCCCAGCATCCCATGTCCCAAGGGCTGGCTTTGTGGTCTCAACAGTGGGACTGCCAGGAGCGAACCCCTCTGCCATCCCTCCCCGCAGTTCACAGTCCCCTCCGGGAGGGTCAGAGAGATGCTCAGAATGGCCACCAGCAGCCTTGGCTGCACCAAGGTGCCATAGTCCCACGTTTGCCTCCCTTCATGTCCCCCCTGAAATCCACGGGTACGGTGAGCATGATGCCCGAGCCCTCGCTGCTGAGGGTTGAGAGATCATAGTGGGTCTTCTTGGTCCTCAGAACATACTTTGCTTCGCAAAGGTGCAGAAACATGCATCCACTAAAATGTGATCGTAAAGGCCCTTCAGCGTCTGTTCCTAAGACACTGTGCCATATTGTGCCACCCAGAGAGGACCCGTGTTTCCCTGAACGGCCACACCTGAGGGAAGGATATGGATGCTGGTGGGGACCGGGCTCAGTCGTGGAATTTGCACTCCTCTGATGCCTAGTAGCACCAGCTAGGGAGCATAGGACAGACCTTACGGTGCACACCCCACACTCGCCAGCAGCCTCACCAGCAGCCTTTGAATACCGAGAGGGAACTGGAACAGTTCTTATTCTTCTTAAGAGAACCCCTATCCAGTTGCAGCTCAAGGGCCCTTCCATAGCTGAATTTTCAACCAGACCCTCAAAGGGTGGGGAGAGGAAAGGGGCCATGCCATCTCCCTTTCCCTGGCCGTCTTTATGGTTGTCTCGTGCCGAGGCTCCCCTGGGAGCTGCTGTGGCCTGGTCCCGTATACTTCAAGATGTTATGGCCTTGTCTTTCTAGCGCAGTGTCTCTGAGAACTCCCTCGTGGCAATGGATTTTTCTGGGCAAACAGGAAGAGTGATCGAGAACCCAGCGGAAGCCCAGAGCGCAGCCCTGGAGGAGGGGCACGCCTGGAGGGTGAGCAGCAGCCCCCCCAGGACAGGCCCCTGTGCGGTCCCCTGTGCACGCCACCACGGGTCTTCTCCAGGAGAATGGCTCTGTGGGGCTGGCAAGGGGGTGAGGTATTGGGAGGGAAGGTGGCAGTGAGTTCACGGGGAAAGCAGCGTGCTGGGCCCCTCACGTTCCCAGCACCCAGCCAACCCCAGTCTCCTGTCCTCGGGGCTCCCCAGGTAGGAGCAGAGGAGCAGCAGAGCCCGCTGGCCTCTTGGCTGCTGAGTTGCTATCAGGGGCCGTCTGCGGAGAGCGCAGAGCCCACGCCTCGTGGCTCGACCCGTAACTAGCTCCGTGGCCTAACAACCATAAGCTCTTGTTCTCTGTGGGGCGGCTTTCACTCTGTGGCCCAGCGCCCTGCCCCCCCCCCCAGGCCAAGCTCCCCGCCCCAGGTGTGTGCACAGGTGCTTGGTCCTGCCCGTCTGCTGCCTGGGGCTAACGTGGGCATTTCTTTTGCAGAAGCGAAGCACACGGATGAATGTGCTAGGCAGCCAAAGCCCCCTCCACCCTTCTACCCTCAGTACAGGTAAACATGGCGTGTCGGCCGGACCTTTTGTACATAAAGAAAATAAGACGTGCGCCCCAGAGGTGGAGGGGGAGTGGGCCCCGTGGGTCAGAGGCAGCTGCGCGGTGGGGCGCCGGCCGGCCGCAGGGCCAGGCCCACCCTCCTTGCTTCCCTCCCACAGTGATCCACCGCACACAGCAGTGGTTCCATGGCAGGATCTCCAGGGAGGAGTCCCACAGGATCATCAAGCAGCAAGGGCTGGTGGATGGGTAAGCACCTCCGCCCGTGGGGGCCGGCGTCCGCCCAGGTTTGGTTGTGTGTTGTGTGGGCATGTAGTCCGCTCAGCTCCCCAGAGCATCCGGGACGGTGAGACCCTCACTAAAGAGGAGAACACGTGCCCAGAGGTGTGACTGTTGCGTGGGGCTTGCCCACTAGTGTCAGAGGAGAGCTTGCCACCCATTTCTGTCACACTCTATTATCATCCTCTATCTCTTTGTTGAAACTAAACAGACATAGAACATTAGCCAGTTATTTCTAATCAGGCCATGGACAAATGGGAAAAAATAGTTTTGCTTACACTTGTTGATTTGTGCGTGCAGTCAGCCAGCTTTTGCTGAGAACAAACAACCCCACACCTTAGGGGCTTAAAAGAACAAAGCATGTCATTTCTTACAACTGGAGTCCATAGAGTGGCTCTTGTCACCTGGGCCAGCTCGGTGTGGGCTGAGATGGCTTCACTCACATGGCTGGTGACCGGTGATGACTGGGCACCATAATGATGGGGTGAATGGGCACATTTCCAGCAGCCATGGCTGCACTCACCGGCTCCATGTGTCATTAAGGGCTACGAGACCCTCATTTTCTGTTATTCCGTCATCATTTCTTAACTGAAATTCTTTCCCTTGCCATACATTTGGTTTCCTGGAAAATGTAGCTAAATACTTGATTTCCCCTTAATTGTCAATTTTCAGAATAGCGACTTGGTGTTCTATCTTCCAGTAGTGACACATGAGGTGGTTTTTTTATTCTTTTTTGACTGTCATTATAAACTTAGATGCTTATGTGTTTGATTTATTTCAAGCAAAACATATTATTCTTGACCAGTGGGATCTCTTTCAAGTTGGTCCCTGGGTGCTGCTGACCCAACACTAATAATTTAATTTCATTGGTGACACGGTACATTAGGCTCACATGACACATTTTCCCTAATTATTTCTCATGGAAAATGGTGTCTGGAGACCATAATCTGTAGGTCTTTTCCATGGACAGAGGTAGGACATAGGCTTTTCTAAACTGAAAAATAAATTATGGGTTCACATTGAAATTGCCAATTCAAATTGAAAGTTGCAGGGTTTTCACTTTTTTTATTTTATTGCATCTTTCTTCTCTTATTCTGAAACCCTTACTAATGATATTAACTTACTTATTTGTTTTACCCCACTCTGTACTTATTTGCTTTATCGGATATCCATTCACCCAACACTCTGCAGCTATAAACAGAACTGGCTGGCTCTCTGAGCTCCCTTGGGGGCGGCTCCTTCCTCTGCGGAGGGAGTGGCTTCCGGCTGACGCAGGGCGGGAAGGGGGACTTCCCCCGGCTTTATAGCCTCACTCCCCAGCCTGGGTGCCGAGCCCAGGGGCATCTGCAGCCCAGAGCGCGGCGCGGCGCTGGGTTGGAGGGTGCAGCGGGACAAGGGTGGGACCAGGTACCCACGGGGAACGGCAGGCACCGTTGGACCCTGAACACACAACAGGGCAAAACTGGGATGGGTCCTGCTTTTGAGCCTGTGCTCCTACCTTCGAGATCCCGATTTTGTTCTGGGTTTCAGTTGGAGTATTCGGTTATGGGGCACTGATTCGGCAGAGTGTCAAATACATCCTAACAGGCTTGTGTCTGGAAAGGGGGGTGGGATTCTGGGCAGGGGCCGAGCGGATTTGGGTTGAACGTGGCGTTTCTTTTATGCGATGGTTACGGGGAGTAGAACGTCCGGGGGGAGGTGGCGGGGCGCCCGCGCACACTGCCCTCTGCCGGCGGGCACCGCGCTCGCTGGGGCCGGGCTGCAGGCGTGCCCCTAAACCCAAGCGGCTTCTCCACAGGAGCCCAGACACCTGCAGTTCCTGGCGGACCTGGAGGACTGCAGCGTCTTCTCCCTGATCTCGGGCAGGAAGCAGTACAGCGCCCCCACGGACTATGGCTTCTGCATAAAGGTACGTCCCCCCGCCCCCGCCCCCCGCCCAGCGTACACCCTGCCAGCCAAGCCCTGGCATCCCACTGGACACTGTGGAATTCAAACAGTAAATTCCTCTCTTGGCCGTTGCTTTTTTTAAAAAAAAACAAAAAAAACAGAAACGCAGCTTCACACTGGATTTATTCATTCATATAAAAATATTTCTTTGTACTTACGATGCGTGGGTCCTTGAGTAGCTCAGAAGCCCAGAGGAAAGCGGGTTGGTTAACACCAAACAAAATACAGCAGTAATACCTGTCGATGGGCTCGGTGGCCTCGGGCCATGGCTTCGGCCCCAGGCAGGGCTGCGGCCTTAGCCCTGGAGGAAGAGGAGACCCCCACCCCAGCTTGTTGGGTGGCCTCCAGGCTACTGAGTGAGCTACGCCTTCTGTGTGGGCTCTGGTCACCGGGATAGTTGGATAAGAGTGACCACAGCACTGCTCTCTCCCTGTGTGCATGTGAGTGGAGGCACATGCTCACATATTTACTGATGCACACACACGTGCATGTACCTACATGCATATATGCACATGTGTGCACGCGTACACACACATGCACATATATACATGCATACACATATGAGCATGTGCACACAGACACACACAGACACACACACACACACACACACACACACACACACACACCCCTATGGGCTGGGCCCACCCTCCTCCCATTAGAGGCTGTGATGATGGTCATCGTAGTAGTAGATAAAATGTGCTAAGTACTTCCTGTGCACGAGATGCTCTGCTGAAGGTTTTACCTGCATCCTCTTGTTGAGTCTCCCAGGGTGCTTACGGGGCGGAAGTCACACCAGCCCTGTTGCCCATGCCTGGTACCCAGCGAGTAATGTGCCTGGAGTCACCCAGTTGGGTTGCTTGACCCCATCCAAGGAGGGGACAGGATCTTGGGGCACATTCCACCCTAAATGCCCCCTTGCACCGCACTCGATGAAGCGTCCTTGGGTTGCTGGTGATGGGAGCCTACTACAAAGGAGTGCACAGCCCAAGGGGCAGGGCTGGCCTCGGGAGGGGCCGGAGCGGGCAGCCAGGAGCCGGGAGAGCCCAGGTCGCAGGAGCTGTGCTTATGCCACAGCACTGGCTACAGGCAGGCTGGTCACTCATGTCCCTCGCTCCCTCTCGGTTCCTAAGGCGGAGAGCTGGGCCACTGTCCACCCAGCGTTGTCCCTTACATCTGAGGGTTCACGGGGAGATCCAGCTAAGCTTATGCCTGCGTGGTTCCCCTCCATCCCCAAGTAAACCCTGCCTTTGGGTGGTCTCCACGGGGGGACCTGTGACAGTTACCCCTCATGCCTCAAGTGCTGGCCCCACTCCAGTCCCCCTCCTTTGGGGTGACAGTGGTCTCTCTCCCGGGGCCTTGTGCAGGGTCCATCCTTGGGACCACTCAGACACTGCACAGCCCTGAGCCCTCGGGGGCCCCTCCCACCACCTCCTCAGTCCTCCTGGGAGGCGACCGACAAGACCGCTTCCTTTGTGATCGGACAGCTCTCCTCCTATGAACACAACCTCCCTCCCCAGAGTCAGAAGCGTCCCTGTCCCTGGCGCATCCACCACCTTGCCTCGCCCTCCTCTGAGGGCCCCTGTGGAGGAGGAGGGCCGATCACTCAGCTAAGTAACAGGAAGGAAAAGGCTCCGCCCAGGGCGCCTGGACACTTGCCTGGCTGTCGTCCTGTCCCGTGTGTGGAGAATCCAGCCCTGCTGGCTGGAGCAGGAGGCGTGTCTGACCGGTCGGTGATGCTCACCGGGCCTCCCTGTATCTCCCTCAGACAAACAAGTTGATGCACGACAGCAAGGAGCTGCGCCTGCTGTGTGCCGAGGACGAGCAAGGCCGGACCTGTTGGATGACAGCCTTCCGCCTCCTCAAGGTACCCGCGTTTCCTAGAGACGCCGGCTCCGGCCCATTCCACCCAGTATTCTGACTGCCACGTGCAGTCGTGCACCTTCCCTGTGGGGTCTCAGGAGCTCCTCAAGGAGCCTTCACAGGGGGCAGGGCAGAGCCCTTGCTGACCAGGCACTGTTGACATGTGGGGCTGGACCCTGTGCATTGTAGGACACTTAGCAGGGTCCCTGGTCTCCCCCACTCGATGCCGTAGCACCCCCACCAGGTAAGACAAACACAAATGTCTCTAGCCATCACCACGTGTGCCCCGGGATGGAGGGGCAGGGAATGGGCCGTGGTGTATGACATCTGGATTAGGGAATAGGGCTAGAAAGGTTGGGGCCAGGAGACCAGGGAGCACAGAGTTCCTCAGGAGGGTGAGTTGTTTTCATGACCAACCATCAGATTCCTGGCTCCCTGAAAACCCAGGTCCATGAGGGACATGTGATGAGTTCTACAACTCATCATAGTGCCCAAGGGGAGAGAGTGTCCCCTGACAGTAAGTTCTAAAGGAAATGTATTGCATGGGACCTCATATAGGATAATGCCCTTGATGGCAATTTCACAGTAATTGACAGTGATTCCACCAGCTCCTTAGTGACAGGTAAGCACGTGATGCTAGAGTTCACGTCGCCTCCGTTTCCCGCCCACTGCCACTTTGTGCACATAGGTACTCCCTGTGTCTGGAATCACAGAGTCCACACGAGTTGCAAGTTCATTGACCTAGACGAACTTGCCTAGAATCCAAGGGTCTAGAGGAAATCTGTTTGGTCACCTGTGGCTGACACAGGCAGTGGCCTCGGAATCTTGTTAGTAAAACCCCCAGCCCTCACTGACGCTTCCAGCCGTTCCGAGACTCGTGGTGGCGTCACTTGAAGAAAAGGACCAGCAGAAGGAGGCTTAGCTCAGAATTCTCCTCGGAGATTTCCTTGGGGATGCCATAGAACATAAACTCTGGGGACAGGCGTCCCTCCCTGTACCTCCCTCTCCCAGAACCTTATTATTTTGTTTCATTTTTGCTGCTGATAAAACAAAAGGAGTTTAAAATGAAAATGTTACTGTTTCATAATAGAAGAGGAAATGTTAGTGTTGGAATAAGATACTATATATCATGGACTATTCCTTTAGAAGCCATATTTAAATGTGCATGCCCATCAGCAGGGACGTGGTTAAATGTGTTACAGGATATCCATTCACCCAACACTCTGCAGCTATAAACAGAACTGGCTGGCTCTCTGAGCTCCCTTGTGGAAAAATAGGATACACTGTTAACAACTCAAAAGCCAAGTGCAGAACAGCATATAGAGAGCACGCCAGCCACGTATGGGGGAAACATTTATATTTGCTGTTACGTGAGTACACATCGTGTAAGATTGCAGGAGAAAATACAGATTGGGGGAGAAGAGGCAGCTGTGCAAATGGCGGCAGGCGGGGGAGGGAAAGCTTGAACGTTTTATGTATGTGTGTGTGTGTTTGCTTTTGGTCTGCATATATATATACTTTATTTGGGAAAAAAACCAGAAAGGGGCATGAGAAAGAAAAACACTAGCATGCCTGGCGGGGCTGTGGCAGCCCCCCCGCCGCGGCCCTGGTGGCTGACCTGACTCTGGCTTCCTCCTCCAGTACGGAGTGCTCCTGTACCAAAGCTACAGGGTCCCCCAGCAGAAGAAAGCCCTTCTGTCCTTCTCCACCCCAGTGGTAAGTAAACCTGCGACCGTCGACCGCCGAGGCCCTTCTCAGCTGCCGCACCCGCCCGTGCTGTGGACGTCTCATCTCAGGAGGTTGCCGAGAGCAGCTGCAGAGCGAGCTGTGTCTCACACAAGCAGCGTGTCCCCCAGCATCCCATGTCCCAAGGGCTGGCTTTGTGGTCTCAACAGTGGGACTGCCAGGAGCGAACCCCTCTGCCATCCCTCCCCGCAGTTCACAGTCCCCTCCGGGAGGGTCAGAGAGATGCTCAGAATGGCCACCAGCAGCCTTGGCTGCACCAAGGTGCCATAGTCCCACGTTTGCCTCCCTTCATGTCCCCCCTGAAATCCACGGGTACGGTGAGCATGATGCCCGAGCCCTCGCTGCTGAGGGTTGAGAGATCATAGTGGGTCTTCTTGGTCCTCAGAACATACTTTGCTTCGCAAAGGTGCAGAAACATGCATCCACTAAAATGTGATCGTAAAGGCCCTTCAGCGTCTGTTCCTAAGACACTGTGCCATATTGTGCCACCCAGAGAGGACCCGTGTTTCCCTGAACGGCCACACCTGAGGGAAGGATATGGATGCTGGTGGGGACCGGGCTCAGTCGTGGAATTTGCACTCCTCTGATGCCTAGTAGCACCAGCTAGGGAGCATAGGACAGACCTTACGGTGCACACCCCACACTCGCCAGCAGCCTCACCAGCAGCCTTTGAATACCGAGAGGGAACTGGAACAGTTCTTATTCTTCTTAAGAGAACCCCTATCCAGTTGCAGCTCAAGGGCCCTTCCATAGCTGAATTTTCAACCAGACCCTCAAAGGGTGGGGAGAGGAAAGGGGCCATGCCATCTCCCTTTCCCTGGCCGTCTTTATGGTTGTCTCGTGCCGAGGCTCCCCTGGGAGCTGCTGTGGCCTGGTCCCGTATACTTCAAGATGTTATGGCCTTGTCTTTCTAGCGCAGTGTCTCTGAGAACTCCCTCGTGGCAATGGATTTTTCTGGGCAAACAGGAAGAGTGATCGAGAACCCAGCGGAAGCCCAGAGCGCAGCCCTGGAGGAGGGGCACGCCTGGAGGGTGAGCAGCAGCCCCCCCAGGACAGGCCCCTGTGCGGTCCCCTGTGCACGCCACCACGGGTCTTCTCCAGGAGAATGGCTCTGTGGGGCTGGCAAGGGGGTGAGGTATTGGGAGGGAAGGTGGCAGTGAGTTCACGGGGAAAGCAGCGTGCTGGGCCCCTCACGTTCCCAGCACCCAGCCAACCCCAGTCTCCTGTCCTCGGGGCTCCCCAGGTAGGAGCAGAGGAGCAGCAGAGCCCGCTGGCCTCTTGGCTGCTGAGTTGCTATCAGGGGCCGTCTGCGGAGAGCGCAGAGCCCACGCCTCGTGGCTCGACCCGTAACTAGCTCCGTGGCCTAACAACCATAAGCTCTTGTTCTCTGTGGGGCGGCTTTCACTCTGTGGCCCAGCGCCCTGCCCCCCCCCCCAGGCCAAGCTCCCCGCCCCAGGTGTGTGCACAGGTGCTTGGTCCTGCCCGTCTGCTGCCTGGGGCTAACGTGGGCATTTCTTTTGCAGAAGCGAAGCACACGGATGAATGTGCTAGGCAGCCAAAGCCCCCTCCACCCTTCTACCCTCAGTACAGGTAAACATGGCGTGTCGGCCGGACCTTTTGTACATAAAGAAAATAAGACGTGCGCCCCAGAGGTGGAGGGGGAGTGGGCCCCGTGGGTCAGAGGCAGCTGCGCGGTGGGGCGCCGGCCGGCCGCAGGGCCAGGCCCACCCTCCTTGCTTCCCTCCCACAGTGATCCACCGCACACAGCAGTGGTTCCATGGCAGGATCTCCAGGGAGGAGTCCCACAGGATCATCAAGCAGCAAGGGCTGGTGGATGGGTAAGCACCTCCGCCCGTGGGGGCCGGCGTCCGCCCAGGTTTGGTTGTGTGTTGTGTGGGCATGTAGTCCGCTCAGCTCCCCAGAGCATCCGGGACGGTGAGACCCTCACTAAAGAGGAGAACACGTGCCCAGAGGTGTGACTGTTGCGTGGGGCTTGCCCACTAGTGTCAGAGGAGAGCTTGCCACCCATTTCTGTCACACTCTATTATCATCCTCTATCTCTTTGTTGAAACTAAACAGACATAGAACATTAGCCAGTTATTTCTAATCAGGCCATGGACAAATGGGAAAAAATAGTTTTGCTTACACTTGTTGATTTGTGCGTGCAGTCAGCCAGCTTTTGCTGAGAACAAACAACCCCACACCTTAGGGGCTTAAAAGAACAAAGCATGTCATTTCTTACAACTGGAGTCCATAGAGTGGCTCTTGTCACCTGGGCCAGCTCGGTGTGGGCTGAGATGGCTTCACTCACATGGCTGGTGACCGGTGATGACTGGGCACCATAATGATGGGGTGAATGGGCACATTTCCAGCAGCCATGGCTGCACTCACCGGCTCCATGTGTCATTAAGGGCTACGAGACCCTCATTTTCTGTTATTCCGTCATCATTTCTTAACTGAAATTCTTTCCCTTGCCATACATTTGGTTTCCTGGAAAATGTAGCTAAATACTTGATTTCCCCTTAATTGTCAATTTTCAGAATAGCGACTTGGTGTTCTATCTTCCAGTAGTGACACATGAGGTGGTTTTTTTATTCTTTTTTGACTGTCATTATAAACTTAGATGCTTATGTGTTTGATTTATTTCAAGCAAAACATATTATTCTTGACCAGTGGGATCTCTTTCAAGTTGGTCCCTGGGTGCTGCTGACCCAACACTAATAATTTAATTTCATTGGTGACACGGTACATTAGGCTCACATGACACATTTTCCCTAATTATTTCTCATGGAAAATGGTGTCTGGAGACCATAATCTGTAGGTCTTTTCCATGGACAGAGGTAGGACATAGGCTTTTCTAAACTGAAAAATAAATTATGGGTTCACATTGAAATTGCCAATTCAAATTGAAAGTTGCAGGGTTTTCACTTTTTTTATTTTATTGCATCTTTCTTCTCTTATTCTGAAACCCTTACTAATGATATTAACTTACTTATTTGTTTTACCCCACTCTGTACTTATTTGCTTTATCCCATATAGCAACTTGAAAATCCTAATACTAGATTTCTTCCGTAAGACTCCTGAATTCACATTTCTTCGCAGTCCTTTTAGTCCTTAAGGAATGTTAAAAGACCAAGCTCAGACTCATTCTCTGTGGTTCTGCTTCCAAACTGTTAATGTGGCAGCTTCGTTTGTGTCCGTTCCTTTCCAGTTTTTGTAAGTGGATCTGATTTTTCTTTTCGGTTCACATGGCGATTTTGTAAGGTTTTGAAAACATGTCTGCGGTTCCAAAGTCAAAACTATAACACAAGGCACTTTCTCTGTTGACGATGCTCTGCCCTCTGCCCCACAGTAAGCAGCCATTTTTATCAGTGTTTGTTTATCCTTCTGTTGTTTCTTTCTTAAAAGATAGGCAGCCCCTGTTTGTTTTCCTGTTCTGCCCCTCTTTGTCCTGTGTCCTGAGGGTCGGCTCCTACTGTGTCCATGGTTTCCAGGTCCATGTTCTGGCTCCATCATTTCATAGTTTTGCTGCATTCTCTTAGACATGGGAGTGTTGGGTGAAAGGGCAAAACCTGACGTAATATTGTAAAATATTGCCAGGTTCCCTTTGGCAGGGCAGGCACCTCACAGTGACTCCTCAGAAATACAGAGGGTGCCCCAAAAAATGTATACGCAGTTAAAGAAAGGAGAACTGTGTTAAAATTGTGATACTCAATATATACCGATAACAAAAGATGAATACGAGTCACGTTTGACTCCTGCAATTACAAGAGGTGCTCACAGTGGTTCCCATCAGCGTCCAGGCACTTCTGATGACGGCGAACTACAGCTTGAGCCACGTTGACCAGAGTGTCCACGTGTGTACATTTTTTTGGCAGCCCCGGTATATGAGAGGGACAGTTCTGAGGCCTCACCCGGGAGGCTGAGGGGGAAGTTGTCACTGCATTTCTCTCAGGAAAGGAGCCTGAGCTTCCGCCCAAATCCGTTTGCATTTCTTTTACTTCTTTCAGTTCTTGAGGCCTGTTGACATCCTTGGCCCAGTTTTCTAGATCTACTTTGGGAGACGTTCCCACCCCCACCCCCACCCCTTCCATTTATCTTTTGACTTTGCTTCTGTTTGAGGTTTTGTTTTTTTCTTTTGTTTTTGTTTTTGTTTTGAGTGTACAAAATGTTTTAAAAAGTTGGTCCCCATTTATCATTTCTGTCCCATATCCTCTGGATTTTTGAGTCATACTCATGTAAGTTTTACCAACTCCTAAATCGTAAAGGAATTCGCTCACATTCTCTCCAGAGCTTGTTTCTTTTCTTTCTCCCTTTCCCTCTTTCTTTCCCTCCCTCTCTCCCTCTCTCTGTTCTTTTCTGTTTTGCTTGTTTGTGTAGGTCCCAGATGCATGGAGAAGTCACAGGTGTACTACGTAAAGAATGCATCTTATTTTATTTTCTTTCCCAAGTGGCTATACACTTGTTCCAAAACAACTTATTTGAGATGTCAACCTTATCATAGGACAGTCCCCTCTGAAGCATTAAAAAGGCCTCCGCCTGACTATCAACAAGTGTGCTTCTCCTCTAAGGTCCGGCATGCCGGGGGAGGGGATAGCCTGGCCTCTGGAATTCCTTTCAGCGACCTTGTTTGTGTTTCGATGTGTTCCCGCGGCTGTACTTGTTTGCAGCCCTGAGCCACGTCAGAAGAGAGCCCGGTGATGTTCTAGTGCTGTCACTGTTAACAGGCCAGTCCCTGCCGTTCCTTCTAAGGCAGGTGAGCAGGTTTGCTTGCCTGGTGACATCACACTTGTGGAAAAGCGAGGGTTCCACAGGAGCTGTAATCTGGTGCTGTAGCCACTAGTGTCCCTCCCAGGGCCGAGGCTGGTGACGTGGACCCTGCATTCCTGAGGAGCTGCTGCGATCTCAGGGGTGTGGGGGACCTGTGTGCCTGGAGGAAGCTTCCCCGGGGACTCTGGGATCAGGCCAGCAGTCACTTCGCTGCCCCTCTGGTGGGGGCCGTGAGGGGTGTTAGCACACTTGGTCCACGGCCATGAGTGTCGGCCGTGAGTGTCGGCTCTGTGTTTTGACTTGTGTTTGGGGTTCAGCATTCCCCAGAGTCGAGTCCCTGGGGCAGGTGTCACACCTTTCCTGCCTGGTGAGGAATAGGGGCATTGTGGCTGTGGTGGCGGCTGCTGTGTTTATAGGCAGGAGCACCTCTGTCCTCCCCATGTCTTTGCTGTCACTAAGGTCATAGCATTCAATCCCGCCGTCTGGCTGCTGGCCGCCTGGCCGCGACAGAAGTAAAAAGGACAGGGCCCGTTGGGGTGTCAGCACACTGATGCCACCTCGTCCTGCAACCTTTAATTCCTGTGTTTCCGGAGGAAAGCTTTTGGGAAACAGGCCCATTATATAATCAATTCCGGATCTTTAGTGATCCCAGCAGAGATGTTGAGGGAAGCCAATGACCCCCGCTGGGTGGGAGGAGACTCCCTGGTCCAGACCTGAGTTCTTTGCAGCTTCCTCTTCCCTGGATTTTCCAGACTTATTTAACTGTGTTTCATTTCAACATTATAATCTAGAAACTGATGATGTAGCTGATTACTGCCGTGTGTTTCCTCTCCGGCCGCTTCATCACTGGGACTTCCTTCTTCCGCTCCGATATAGAACCCCTTCTCTCACCAGCCAATTTCCAGATTTGTTCCTGGAAAAGCAGTGATTTATGCTTCTTTGTGCTGTTTTAACATTTTAAATACTTTGAACCGATTTCTAATTGTAGAAAAGTGGCAAGAATAATATAATGAATTCCTATATACATTTTAGCCAGTTACCTCAGCCGTGAATGTTATAACACATTCGCTTCGTCATTCTCTCTCTTTCTGCTTCTGTCTCTCCCCTTGTTCTGTGGGAATAAATTGTGGCATGATGCCCTTTTATTCCTAATTATTTCGGTATAAAATTTCTAAAAACAAGGACTTCTTATTTAACCATAATACCGATATAAAAATTAGGTAATTAACATCAGTGCAGTGCTCCTGTCTAATGCACACACGTCCCTCTTGACCAGCAGTCCTCACTAAGTTTCTTATGCTAGAGAAAAAAAACGTTGCAATCCTGAACCCTCTCCTATGCCAGCATGTCTCCTGAGCCTTCCTTTGTCTTCCACTGACACTTGTTATGAGTAGAAGCCAGTAATTCTAGAATGTGCCGTGGCTCTGGGGAGCCTGTTCGCTTCTGGTTCCGTGTGGGTGTCGCGTTTTGGCAGAAGCACCCGGAAGTGCGGTTGAGTCATCGTCATCGCTTCCTGTTAGGGCGGGTTGTCTCAGCCCTGGTGGTGTTGACTTGAATACTGGATGAAGGTTGCATTGACCCGTTTCTCTACTTACTGTACAGTTACTGTTTCCCCTCTGTAATAAGTAAGTACTAGGGGTGGATGCTTTGAGACTAGGAAAGTCTTCTGGTGGTCGTCAAATTTCAGCTGTTGGCTTTAGCATCCTTTAACGGTCCTTTCCCTCATCCATGGTAGTCTGGTGACTGCCGGGTGGTGGTTTTCTGACCCATATTCCTGCTGTTTATTTAGCTGGCCCTCAGCTGTCAGGAAGAGCTTTCCCTTCTCTCCTCTTACCTTATTTGCTCATTTATTTACAATACCGGTATGGGCTCGTGGGTTCTCTTTTATTCTAATCTATGGCTTACGATCCATTCCTTCTAGTATTTACTTTGAGGTCCAGGTTTGGTCACGCTGCCTCCTGGGTCATCGTTCTTTTAGCACTTCCTTACTTCCTGGAACAAAATGTTTCAGCTGCATCTTACAGTTTCCCTGCCTCAGTTATAGGTTACAGAACCCACAGTGTTCCCAAGGAGCCCTGCTTCCTTTCAATGAAGAGTGACATTCAGAAACCATAGTCTGGGTGTAAAGGGCGCTGTTGCCACTAGAGGCTCCACGGATGCTAAGGCATCCTGCAGTGTCGTGGCTCCAGGCCCCGGTTCTCAGATGGCGCAGGGCAGTGTGTGTGTGTGTGTGTGTGTGTACGCGTGCGTGTGTGTGCATGTGTGTGTGTGCGCGCGTGTGTGTGCATGTGTGTGTGCGTGTATGTGTGCGCGTGTGTGCATGCGTGTGTGTGCGCGCGTGTATGTGTGTGCATGCATGTGTGTGTGTGTGCACGCGCCCACGCGCAGATTTATAAATATTAACTCTGGATTTTTAAAATTAACAATCAATTGATGACTCTCCGTCCCCCAGGCTCTTTCTCCTCCGTGACAGCCAGAGTAATCCAAAGGCATTTGTACTCACATTGTGTCATCACCAGAAAATTAAAAATTTTCAGATCTTACCTGTAAGTATTGATTTGTTTCATACTAATCCTCATTTTTTTTTTTTTTTGCTTTCTGGTTTTATTCTTAATGCCATTTTCAAGTTACATACTAACCAGACTATAGATCATTAACTATCATACAGTCCCACAGGTGAGATACTTTCAAGAGTTTCTGAGAGGTTGGTTCTGTGAGAATGTGAACCTTGTTTCCCGATAAATTACAGGAGTTCCCAGTTTAGTTGGGGATAAGATACACAAAATGAATACCAAATGTTTTACATAATGAATTGGTACTGACAACTTTCGTGAACTATGTCCTGTGGAACCCAAACCCAGGAAGTATGTGGGTTTTCAACTATGCAGGGGTCGGCGTCCCTAACCCCCACATAATTTAAGGGTCAACTGTATAGTTCTTTCAGGAAGATTTTGTGGAGTTCCTGCATTTCAATAAAAATAGTTACCAAATAATCCAGCATCTGGAAAAGTTGCTTTTCCTCCATGATCTTATTAATCTTTTAATAGCAAATCCAACATTTGCTTCATAATGGAGCGAAGTGGACGTCAGGATTGAAGGAGGCTGCAACAAGGTCCAAGGTCCTGCAACAAGGACCCAGGGCTGTGTCCTCCTCCATGGGGCCTGCCGTGTGGATGGATGCCCACAGGCTAACTGGTCTACCTCTGCCTCATGACTAGGCAAGCTGAGAGGAACTTAGAGCACTTCCGCATGACCGTGTTAGGGAACGGGGGAGCCAGCTGTGCCCGGCAGACCTTAGGGACTTGGCAGAACCCAGCGCAGACACCCCTCTCCCCACCTTCTGCCCTGACATTTTCTAGCGCGCCTTGCTGACTCCATGTGCTTGTCTTAGGAACCGAGCCACGGGCAGGCGGAGCTACTGCTGACCGTGGGCCCTGCTCTGTTCCCTGAGGTGTCCCTCTAACCTGGTGAGTGTTCTTGTGTCTCTTAGTATGAGGAAGATGGGCAGATGTTCTTCAGCCTTGACGACGGGAACACCAGATTCTCTGACCTGATCCAGCTCGTTGACTTCTACCAGCTCAACAAGGGAGTCCTGCCTTGCAAACTCAAGCACCACTGCATCCGCGTGGCCTTGTGACCTCAGATTTCGTCACGACTGACGACGGGAGGAAGTTGACACTGGAACGGCTAGGAAGTGTCTGCGTTTTTGAGAATACACATGATTCTGTACCTTGGGAGCGAGATCAGTTCCTTCGGTGCCAACCAACCAAGATTGATTAGTTTGTTGGACTTGGCGATGATTTGCTGCTGCGGATCCAAGAGGATCCCTCTTTCTGCGCCGGCCAAATCGGGGGTGGGGGGTGGGGCACGGAAGAGCAAGCATAAATTTGAGGATAAACTGGAATGATCATCTTGGCTGGGCCACGTGGGAACCGGAGCGAAGTAATTGGAAATGAACTCTTGCCCTGGAATAATCTTGACAATTAAAACCGACATGTTTACTTTTTTGTATCGATCACTTTTTGCACTCCTTGGTCTTCACGGTCGGACTCGGCCTCTGGTGGAGGGGATGTGGCTTTTTTGGTGCCTACAAGATGGAAAGACAGTTTTGAATGGGCCAACGTCAGAGATGGAGCACGGGGCCCCATATGATTCCAGAGGGCGGCCCCGCCTTCGCAGGTCACCACAGGTGGATTCAGCTTCCAAATAATGAACACCCTTGCCCTTCCCAGTATACTTGAAAAGCTTTTTTAAAAATAAAAGGTGTCACCCGTGGTCAGCATTTGGCATGTTTTGGGGACCAGTCAGGCAACCACGGTCTGTCAATCACTTTTCTCTGCACAGGTGTCCATGCTTGTGTTACTAGCATGTCGTGTCTTCCACAGTTCAGGAGACTGGATGACTTTGGAAAACCCACTGTTCCACACAGGGCAGGGCCAAGTGGCCGCTCTTCTAGTCGGAGGCAGGCCGGCCTTCTTGAGACACACCTGGTGCCCAGCAGTGGATGCCATGCCTCTCTGTCTGTCCGCCTGGGTTACTTGCAGCCTGTTCTAGAATGATCACTGCCTTACCCCCTGCCGTGGCATGAGTCCTTTCATGGCTGTCCTCCCTCGGGGATTAAAGGATGTAATAAGACAATGGCACCCCTTGGCTTCCTGCAGTGGCTGTGGGTTTCCATGGTGATAAAGATGGAAACATTGAAAGGGCACATGAGCAGCCCAGCATTTAGAGGTCTGTGCTTGAAGACCCCCGCCCCACTGGAGCCCCCAGAAGCCAGCGCCGTGAGGCCGCTGGGGGCTCCTCTGCTGGCTTGTACCTCACAGCAGTTTGAACGTTGAGGAGTTCTGTCAACACAGCACTGCTTCCCACTCCGGGAGCCAAGTCAGACGGTGGCTTGAGCTGTTCCTCATCCCCACTGCCCTGTCCCCCGAGGGAAGTTATCAGGTGTGAGCATGGCCCTGACTTTACTTTGGTCTCCGACAAGCATACCGACTGCTGTGGTGAAAAGTGATTTTCAGTTCCAAAAGAACGGCTGTCCCACTTGACTGACCCCTCTGAATGTTGTGCCACTGGCCTATCCCCCGCTGACCCCACCAGGCTCCCCAGAAACACCCTTGCCGACCCCCAGGGCTTCCCAGAAATACACACACACACACACACACACAGTTCAGACAGACCCAACAGGCTTCGGTAACGCAGAGCTGCTGTCAGTCAGTCTGTGGTTTAGACACACTGTATTTTAGTTTACAGGCCACACTAGCTGTTTTCCACGAAAGGCCTGCTTATACAAATGAAGAATTTTTAGCCAAACATGTTTTTAATCCTCAACGCTCAATTGAACGCGTTTTCCTCCTGTCGTAGCCAGCTCATCTTTCAGACCGTTGACGTCAAGTCTTGCCTGGCAGCGAGCGCGCTGCCCCCAAACCTCACTGAAGGGGCTGTCTCTTTAGTGACTGTTACACAGTTTTCTCGTCACTGGTGGGGTGTAAAAACCTTAAAAAGCATACAAAACAAAACTCTAGAATTCCCCCTCTGTTTACATAGACCAGTATCCACCAGTGGCATGAGACTCTCACACCCCCTCCGATAGACAGCTCATGTCTGCAGTATTTCATATTTATAACTATGCATTTTATTTAAAAGGAGAATAGAAGCTTGACTCTGACTCAGTTTTGTATGTAGCTGGTATGACATAGTCTTTTGGACCTTCCCGGCCACCGTGAATTTTCGGCGCGTGCAGCCTTGGCAGCATCCTGCCTCGCCCTGTGCTGGGTGGCCGGGAACGCCACCTATAGCCAGCCAGTCCTTCCAGGAGGCAGGCGTCCGGCCCCGCCAGCCCCAGGGCGGAAGGACATCTGACTTTTATTTTTGTATTTAAATGACGTGAATGTAAACGGGACAGCTCAGGGTCGTTCTGGAGCCTGTTGACTTCTTCTCTCTGCCTGTGATTTTCGTTTCGTCATAAAAACTCCATGTAGCAATCTGGACGAAGTTGAGAAGGAAACCGCCACATGCTTCGGGCATCTGGGTTTCCTAGACCTCTGTTACCTTACATGTTAGAGTTCCAGGACATTTTGTTCTTTGCTAAGCCTTGAAGAAATACGTGCCTCGTTGTAGAAGTTTTGTCTTCTCTTTTCTGCATTTAATGCCTGACGGTTTGGCCCATTGGTGCACCTTTGGGGGGTGGGACTTGCTCTCAGCAGATTGTGACGTCACAGCACAAGCCTTGTGACCGCAGAGTGGCCTGATATGTAAACGTTTTCAGGGAACGCAGAAGGTGTTCACTTACGAGACAAAACCTTTGTTCCGTGCGCTTTGCTCCTCTCTGTACATAGCTCTTCGGCTCATGAACCTAATTGTAAACTTTCAGGTATTTTTGTACAAATAAGGGACTGATGTTCTGTTTCTTGTAATTCGAAATAAACATTAATACAGCGTTCTTCATTTTCTGTTGCGTGTAGTGTCTGTTTCTGTATTTTGATAACACTCCCACTGGTCAGCCACTGAAAAACTTCTGAAAGTTATTTAGAATATTCACAATGTGCTTTTCTGCACCGGTTAAAAGCGAGTTATAAAGGAAGTGGTGTGTGACGGGCACGGTTGCTTGGCCCCTGCCGAGAGGCTGAGGGCTCATATCAGTCCCCAGGCTGGGTGGGCTCTGTGTGGGTGCCGGGACCCCCGCAGCTGACTTCTCCCTGCAACCCCACCACGGGAACCACACAGCTCAATGCCTCATAGGGAGTCAGATCTCCACTCAGGTTTAGCAGACGCCTCAAGAAACCCAGAAAAGGTCACGTGTGACAAGTCCAGTGGCATGTTTTATACTGCAGGGGGACAAAGTGGCAAGAACCTGGATTTTCTAGTCAAGCAAGAAATTGGCAGAAAGATGAAGAGAATGGACGCCCTGTGTCTCTGCTTCCCAGGACCTCGCCTGGGGGACCCAGATGTACCACTGACCTCCCCACCCACCCCAGGCAGGCATAGGCTGAGTGCATGGTCACGAGCCAGCCGTGTCCACCAGCAGGAGCACACCAGGGACATTTTGAACTCTCCTGTCACTTGGTTTCAGAACCCAAGTCCTTGATTTGTGATAGCCCAGCCCTCTAAGGCAGACCGCTCTTAGGGAAGAGCAATAGTAAGTGTGTGTGTGTGTGTGTGTGTGCGCGTGTGTGTGTGCGCGTGTGTGTGTGAATGCGCATGCGTGCGTATGGTGGGGCTGGCGTGGGACTGTGTGTAGGGCGTGTGTGGTGTGTTCAGGGTGTGGGAGGGGGAAGTTAGCGCTGTGCGGGGCGGGGGACATGTGGGGTGCAGAGAGCCAGGCCGGAGGGCAGGCTGCACGGTGCATGGCCTGTGAGAGGTGGCTGTGTGGCAGTGTAGGGCACCGTGACGGAAGAGCCTGCCGTTTCCACCCTTTTGGAGCCCAGGGTCGGGGAGCAAGCGCTGGGCCAGGGTCAGAGCAGGCTTTGCTGGTCCCTCCAAGGACGATGACACTCAAGCATCACACAGGTAAATGGGTGGAATTAAAACTTTAATCTTGCTCTCCTTGCTGGGATCACATTGTTTTGTTGGTTTTTAAAATATATTTTGAGTTATTTGTAAAACTTATTAGAAGGGATTTTTTTTTAAATAATAAAAGCATTAGCTTGTTACATATCAACAGTAAAATACCCTACACCTGGGTTTTAGTGTAAACTCAGTGTTGCCCCTTTCTCATCTTGGAAGTTCTACACTGACAAGAATTCCCTTCACCTTTCTGCCAGTTTCAGGTTTGACTGGCTATCGCCCAGGTCCTTGTCACTTTCACTGTCTCGCTGCAGTAGAAAAAGATGCCATTGGCCTTATCAGTGTGATCTGGGGTTAGCAATGCTCAACTAAGGGAAATTTTCCCCAGGAAACGTGACATTCTTGGTGTCACAGCTGAAGACTGCTAGATTCTGGGCGCTGCCCAGATGCTGCTGGGCACAGCGACGACCGGCCTGGGCCTGGCGGGCGGGGGTGCACCTGTGCCAGACACAGCCCCCCGATGTCCCTTCCCCGAGGCACAGCGCCATCTTTCCTGGTCCTGTTCCAGGTAAGAGGTGTCCCCCTCCTTCACTGACACACGCCTTAGACGTGGTCAGTGCTCCCAGTGCCTCTGTGTTTCTCATATCCTGTGATCTCAGCAGGCTTGCAGTGTGCCTGGATGGTTACGTTCCCTTCATTTCCACTCTGCATCTCCGCTTAACAGAGCCCCACTCCCCAACCGAAGGGCCCCAAGTCCCCGTGGGCTGGGGGCAGCTTAGACACCTGCCTAAGGATACGTGACTCCTCCCCACAGTGGGGGCTGGGTGCTGCCGGCCGCAGCCCCAGAGGGGTCTTCAAGCTTCACTCAGCGGGAAACGTGTCCTGTGGAGAAGCCGCACGGCCTAGCGAAAGCCACCAGGATGCACATGTCGTATCAACAAGGCCCAAAGCAGACACTGAACGCAGCGCTGGCCACGATTTATTGCTCCTGAGCCCACAACTGCCGGCTGCTGTCCCTCTGCCTGTGGGCTGTCCCTGGTCACCAGAGCTCGCCCTGCCCTTCGGAGCGGCGCCTGCCATGGTGACCGTGCTGCCGTCCTCCCCTGCGTGCCAGTCCCACACCCTGTGGGGTTTTCCGAGGTTACTAACAAAACAAACTACTTGCTCTTCAATCTTTGTCTCAGAGTCAGCTTGAAGGGAACCCAGACTAAAATCAGGACATGCTGGGGCCAGACAACGACGTTTGGGTGGGAAGGCCCTCTCACAGAGGCCGTCCCCACAGCCCCAGGAGGCATTCATGTGCTTTCCAACCCAAATCTCGGGAGGGTTTTTTAATCTTTATTAAATGTATTGGGTTGACCTTGGTTAATAAAAGTATACAGATTTCAACTGTACATTTCTATAATACATCAGGAAGATGTTTTAATGTCTGAACAAATGATTTCATAGTTCCTCTTGAAAAAGAAACCTGTGAAAGGAGCAAAGGGTTTTGTGTGTGTGTGTGTGTGTGTTTGTTTTTTAAGAAAACGAAGGGAACTGTCACCCTTCCACGGCCGCAATGAGTGGGAAAGTGGTGATGCTTAAGTCCTGCATGGACATGCGTGGACAAGTCACCAGAACCACGGCCACTGGCTCGAGAGGCAGGAAAAGGAGAGGAGGACCTTTTCCCAAAACTAGTGATGGGAGAATCGGCTTACTCTTTGGGGTGGGGGGATTAGAACTCTATCCTGTGCCTTACCCCAAAATAAATCCCAGATGGCGTGAAGATCTAAAAGATAAAAGTACCACAAGGAGATAGAGGAACACACATATGCATTCTGCGTGGGGCACTGGTTCCCAAACCGGACACCAAACACCCCGGAAGCACGGAGTTGGGGTCAGAGATTGGGACACACAAACGGACAACTCTGACACCCAGGAAGAGAAACGCGTCAGCCTGGGGGAAGTGTATTGATGGTGATGAAATGTGGTTCTATTATTAAGTGGGGAGAAAGAGGTTGCCAGTAGGATGTACAGTTTTATCTCAAGGTTGTGAACACATGTGCACGCCTGGAGAAAACCTCAAAGCCTCTCCCCGTGTTCACAGCAGCTCGCGCGCTCAGAGGTAGGACTATGCGTGTCAGTCATACATTATTAGTTTTGGAACGGCGTCTCGGTGGTTTCTTTCCGGAGAGCTAACGTGCCTTGTGCACACTGGAGTGGCCCACGCACGTGTGTGCGTGGAGATGGCCAGAGTGCCCGCTGGTTAAACTAGAACCTACAGCAAAAGAAAGGTGCCCCTCAGCAGGAGAGCTGGCTGGCATGGCAGCATAAAGGAGCCAGCCAGGGGTGCGTGTCGGGGGGAACACCCCAGCCGGGAAGTGGGTGATCTGAAGTCATCCAACCAAGCCCAGGGACTGGTCCCATCTCAACAATCACCTTCCACTGTCGCTCAAGTTCCCGTCAGTTTGTCTACTGGGAGAGAAACTGCTGGTCAAAATGACATTACCCTTCTTTTTGTAAATGCCAAAATGGTGTGCCCTGATCTCTCCCTCTCCAGCCTGTGACGAATGCCCCTGTCACAGCCGCTGTCCTCCTCGCCTTGGACCCTGTCCATTCGTGAACTTCCTGGAACACGGCCTCACACCCACTCTGCTATGGGTCCTGCTGAGCCCCGAGTCTGGAACGGCGGCAGCTTTGCCAGAAAGACCAGCCCCGTGTCCCTCGGGCTTTGCTCCTGCCATCCTGTGTGGCTGTCTCAGCCCGGCCTTAAACTCACATGCAGTTCTGTCCACTTTTGTTTCTCTAGAGGCTCATGAAAATAACACCTAGAGCCCTGCTTCACGCACCTTAGCTCTCACCCCACTGCGCTTGGATGGGGAAGAGCTGGGACGCTGCAGCTCAGTGGCGGGCTCTCCGAAAGTCAGGAGGCCCTGGGCCAGGCAGGCTTCCCACAGGGAAGGGCTGGCATTTATGGGATGAC